TTTTAATTTTAATCGGACGGAAATCTGATGCGGCAGTTTGATATCTTGGGGTTCACTTTGTAAAAACTTATATTTTCAATACATTTTTGTCAAAAGTTTAAAATAACATGAATTCTATACATGAATATCATCTTTTTAAACTTTCAACTTTTAAATTCTTACCGACGAAAGAGAACTAGAATCTAAATTTAACACTAAAAGCCACAAACTCTTATTTCAAGAAAATTTAAATAGATTACAAAATGCTGGTTTCATTTTTTCATATTTGCATGAAGCATGAAAGAAAACTAAACCGTAAAAGGGAATTGCACAAATTTATCTTAGTGTATCTGTTTTCTGGAGCTTTGTTTATTTCTATACTAGTATATTTACAAAAATCTACAAATTTCTACAATCATCTTGTCTTTTATCAAAAGAAATATAAAAAATGTATTATATTGAAATAAAGGCTAAACAGAAATTTGGTATGAATAAGTTAGTTTACACAGCAGAGGTGCTGTAAAACTTGTTTTATATACAAGGTACATGTATTATCTACACTTCAGAATCATACACCAAGCTATACTGTGTTGCCTAGTTTCCCTCAAAGACTTCACTGAAAATTCCTTATACATGTGTATTATTTCATTGTTTTATTTTTACTTCGATTAAAAAAAGCCTACTTCAGTCATACTGAACATAAAAATATATATTTTGATAATGTGTAGAAAATTTATTATTTCTTATTGGTATTGTGCTTAGAAATGTATTTATTATTCTTTTTTTTTTTAATTTATTACAATTCATATACTTTTTTATTTTTTGTTAATTTGTGTATTTGTAATATCTATTCATAAAATTAACACTTTTACTCACTAAATTACTTTTATAACGATATTGGTTAATTAAGTAAAAGATTCTGACTTTGCTTAGTTCATTTCTGTGGATTTATCTCCACCATAACACTTAAGGGCGAGCAGTTTGGAAAAGAACAAATGCATAAATAAAGAGGACAATTCAAACAAAGGGAACGTTAAAAACTCCAAGATTCTACTAACTAAAAGGGACCAAAGCGTGCATTTATGCAGAAAATATTGTCAGCTGTTCTAGTCAAAAGTTTTATCCTTATATATATTTTATATATTTCCATAATATCTCGTCACTTCCATACCATGCAATGCTGTTTTATTATTTATGTTTTTGGCTTCCCAAAACTTTGATCTCGTGCTCAACTGTAACGGCATCATACGTATTTATATAGATATCGTTTTATTATTGAGTGTGAATCTACTGACGTGAAACAAAATGTCGAGATTTTCAGTTTGAAAGATTTATAAAAAATGTTTCAATTTTCGTGGGAAATATTGTTTCAAAAATTATTTTAAGCTATAAAAATACATTAAATTTTCAAAAGAAACACACAAAGAGGTCGAACATATTGCCATGATTTAATTTATAAGAACATTTATTAATTTTCCGGAAAAATTACATTTCATAATTGATTAACTGTATCAATATCATATTTTAGAATTATTTTTTTTTAATCATCTTTACTTAACCATGATAAACGTAAAATAAATCCATTTATTTTTCTTTGTAAAAAATATACCCGTATAAAATGGTACACAGTTTTGAATTACCCTTTTTTAATACAAATATAATTTTTTTATGATCCAATTTTTGGCGCGACAGAACGTGGATCAACCATGAAACCTTGATACATTTGAAAAAGCGATTATTTTTTATGAAAGATGATGTAATACCCATTCCTAATCATGTTAGTTTTAAGTTCATTCAACTAAGAATTAAATAAAACCATAATAATAATGACCAGAGGGGTTTCTTAATACTTAAAAATTAAAATTTTACATCAAATTGAAACTTTTAGAACCCAGTGAGTTTTCTTTAATCTTCTTTAGTCACAATAGACGTCAATAGCTTAAACAAATTGAAATTATGCAGTTTTATGAAGACAGGATTCGCAGTTATGCTTTCATTTTTTCAGTGATGAAATTAGATAATAAAATATGCTCGTATATAACAAGTTTATTTGTATAAATTATTTATAATATTCTAACCTTAAAATTATATTTTTGACCTATTATTTTAATTTATTCTATGATATTTCTGATGACATATTGAAAATAACAGCAATATAGTTCATCATCCAATAAACGGACAACAAAGGATGTTAATTAATTAGTGAAATGACGCGTGTCAGATTCCCAATACACCAATTCAAATGTATTTATGGCATTACACAGCTTCATAACACTCTATTCATCAGATTAAAATTATTCGTCTAGCTGATTTTAAAATTCAGGACTGGGGAGAAAATAAATTTATATAATGATAATAATGATTAGAATATAGGTTTCTAAATAAATAATATTGAAAAAAAATAATATTTAAGTATTGGTATATAAAATAGTTTTCCAATATTTGTTTTACTAGATCAGAGCTATGTACAATACATTTTCTTTTTTAGATCAAACACACATTTTGCCTTCTTTTCTTTAAGTCATGTACATCTTCGCTTTCGGAAAGGTTTTGGAAAGTCAATTTAATATAATTTATTTTTCAAATTCATAGATTTTGACAAGCTTTAAGATTTGAACCCGATGCATTTTATATTTTTTACATACAATTCGACCACCAGGAGTAGTCATCTCATTTCATTTTATGTGTGATACCGAACTTAATCCGTTTAAAATGACCACTTGAAATCGGCTTGAGTGAGCTATTATAACACTTCAAATTGATCTTCCGGACACAAGACCACTCTAGACTGGCCATCATCATTATTGGAAAACTAGCCGGTATTGTTCCGGACAGTTATATAACACCCGACTCAATAACGGGTAGATATTGTTTATCCGGTTGACAATAAGTTAATCTTTTTATAGCGTGAAATTCTAAACTTTTGATATTTTCTAGATAATTTAGCTTAGGCTACTTCAAAGGAACGATGAATAAAGGTGAGAATGATGTCTTAATAAAGATTGTGTTTACTTATCCGTTATCGTTAACATAAACAAATATTCAATAAAAGCTCATCGGCAGCGAAACTGAAATCAAATTCTAAAATTTAAACTACACAAGAAAATAATTTAATTACCGAAAGAATATTGTCCAGTTATACAGGTGTCAATCAGTGTCCTTCAAACTGAAGTCTTAAAGTAATACACTTAAGTTCAACAGATCTTGAATTGCAATGAATGTTTAGTTAGTTTTTGAAAATAAATTGAAACATACTCGTGTAAATTTTAAACAATTATATTTAAATGCATTTATTTAATACATACATGTTTATTTGTTATTTTTTTTTAGAAAAATCTTTTAAAATATATATCTGATTAAAAATTTCAAGTATGTCGGCACTTGTCAATTTCTAATAAAATTGGTGAGAAAATTTAGATCAGTTATGAATTTTTCACAATAGATCATATGTATCAAATGAATAAAACTGTCAAACTGGGACAAACCTGCCTACCTAATTTATAAATACAGGATTTCATTTCAATTGACAAATGCGTACATCTCTTAGACGTAGCTTTCCAATTCATTTCAATTCATCGAGTGTCAGTTTTACGGCAGAATAAAATACGCTAATTTTCGCTCGATTTGTTACATTGGATGTGCACTCCAGGCCACGAATACATTATGAACAGGACAGAAAATTTGAATTAATGAAACAACTTTATCTAAATTTCACGCAGTCGGTTCTCAGGTAAATACATAGAGCCAAGGATGACATCGGTGAATGGCTTAGGTGCACATTCAAAAACATATGATTAAAATTTAATAATTAAAACTATTTTTAAATAGCATGCCAAAAAGAGAAAATTAGATAATATTTTATTTAATAGTAATCAGTTCAAAAGTACATAGAAGGCTTGTTGAAATCTTAGAAGATGATTGGTCTTATTTGAAATAGTTGATGTGAATTGTTTTGTTTTTTTTATTTTACTTTAAAAAAAAAAAGACTCTGAAGAAACAAGTCTAATGACTGCGTAAGGGTTTGAATTTCGTATGAATCTGCATAGTTAATGTCCAATAGAACTATCTTTTAATTTTAACCAAAATATGACCTTCAGCATTGTTCTATATTACGCTGCTGATCTGCTGATTTGAATTTATACTTCAATTGTTTTAAGTTTATACTGAATTAAACATTTTTTAATACAATTTTCCTTCTGATTCATAAGGATAAGTCATTGCGTTTTTGCTGCACCCTGTTAGATAAAATGGGTCAACACAAGAAACCACTAATTCTAATTATAACTATAAATCTCCAAGGGCGGATCAAGGATTTTGGATTTTTAATAAGGGGGAGGGGGCGTAATTTTAAGAAAACGTAATAGATACTGAACGATTAAAGCTAATTAACTTTATTACCCGTGATAAACACGAGTTTTTTTTAGATGTTTTGCGATCAAAACAAGGGGTCTACGCCCTCTACGCACTATCCTGGATCCAGGACTCTGATTTATATATCCGCCGTGATACCATTTCCGATTTCACCATGTTCTTTGGTTTTTGTCTCATTAATAGATACCCTATTTATATCTTTTATCCTTTAGTGGATCTTAAACGTTGTACTAATTTATTCTATCAATAAAACAAATTGTGAAATTGAGCTGAAATCTAGTAAACCACAACAAAACGAAACACGACTGAGTCAGTTTACTTCCGTTTTCTTTGGGACGAAACAGATTTAAATTTCTTACGCCTTTTGAGGACATTTTTAACGTGGAAATATTTATAAGATTTACATGTAAAAGGCAAACTATTTGTCAAGACTTCTAACGCTTATACCATTAAATGTTCGAAATTTAAAAAACGAGATGTTTACAAAAGAGAAGTGCTTTCATTTAAGCAAATATCAGTAGAAATATTTTGAAATTGACATGAAAGTGTTTATTACATGTACGTTTCACCTTTCCACGATTACAAGACAAAGATATAGATAACTAAACTGATAAATATGTTGGAATTATAATGTGTATTTCAGTGGAGTTATGAAAGACAAATCCAAGACGGCGGCAAGATCAAGAAGAGAAAAAGAAAATGCAGAGTTCTATGAACTTGCAAAATTACTACCTCTCCCATCGGCTATTACGAGCCAGTTGGACAAAGCCTCCATAATAAGGCTATGTACCAGTTACCTGAAGATGAGGAGCGTTTTCCCAGATGGTAAGTAAACATTTTACATATTTATTATTCAATTAATCATCTATACATTGGATTTTACTTAATACGTCCAGTGATAAACATTACAATACATTAAAGACAACGGTCAATTGAACATGATTTAAAATAATAAAAAAGACCGATAACGGTCGGGAATAGAATTAAGGTACTTCAAAATATTTTTGAATAATATAAGACCCTGTTGTGTATAGGGGTTCCTGGCAAGGAGATTGTGGATGGATTATAATTCCTTATATATTCCCTTTTCAGATACAGCGTTTATTCAAAATGTAATGTTCCTCTTCAATACACTAAAACTGAATTATACTGTTATTTCCATGGCAACCGTTATTAATTTTTATTACGATTTCTTATATCCCAATGCCAGGTTGTTAATTGTGGCAGATAAACACATTTTATCCAAGAGCACTATATATTTTTAAAAAAGAGGCATACATATAATTGATAACCGTAAGAAATTCAGACCAAAAACATCACAAAAAAATTTCTTATTAAGATAAATGTTTTCGAATGTATACGGAAAGAAATTCAAATGAGATCGAAATGTGAAGTATCGGCTTAGCATATTTTAATTCTGTTTACAACCGAAGACGTTTGCAATATTAAGATATTTTAAAGGTGACAAGACAACTTAACCGGTGTTTATTTTTTTTTTAGATATGTTCAAAATTTTAAGAATTAAAACTGTATTCTGAACGTCTAAACAACTCATATATATATATATTTGATGTCATAACGACCTCGACTTTCAATCCCAACACAATTCTGTATATAGCTCGTTCGAACCATATCCTAGCAAGATAAAACATGAAAATAAAACTTTGATTCCATTTATTTACAAGTCATCAAGTAAATGTCAAAGTACTCTGGTCTCTTGTTCTTTTTAGAATTTGTTTTTGAATCAACATTAACAAATTCTGCTTTAATGAGGACATATAAGCTTTACCAGTTTCAATCCCCTTTATGATATTCAAATAATTTTGAAATAGATTCCCTATTAAATGCCATTCATCCTATGATTTTTGTAAAAGCTAATATTTACTAACAGAACGAGGCTTCGGAACTAAAAATACAGTAGTCAATTAGACGATGGGCAAAGAAATAAAGAGCAAATATTATCGACAAACATAGCGAACGTTGGAACGGAAACATAGCATTCAATTTCAGTTTTGTCAACAGACATTGAGAGTAAAATTCACACCTATGGAAAATCACTTTCAGATCAATGTTTATTACGATAAGATGATGAATTTCGTGGGTCACTGACAGATGGGACTAAAGGTCGTTGGTCCGAAGTCGGTCATAACCAGATAAAGGTCCACGACACATGTGTATATACCCACGCTTCTAATACTGACCCTCATATTTATACTAGTACATACTACACCAGTACCAGTACCTATTATTGGTAAAGAATCAATGCACTTCCCTACATAAGCGTTATAAAAAATGAAGACTTACAGAGTGCTGTTTGGTACTATACATAAATTACTTGTCCTGGTCAGATATTTTATAATATTGAACAAGTTGAGAAATCTTGTCACAATGACCAGACTGTTATACTGTATCCCGTTTTGCATGGTATGATATCCGCCCGTCCATAAACACGTTAGATTAGCTTGTCTTGAGTAATTTATTTAATCAGGATTTCTTTATTTTCAAATAATTAAAATTGTCAAATTTGTCTTGTTTATTAATAAGTTGCTGTCCTAACATACAAAACAAATGAAACTAGTAAGGGTGTAGTCAATTTCAATGTCGTATATCTAGCGAGACATTTGTTGACCCTGGAACTATGACGCGGAAATCTATTTCGTGACAGAATGCAAAAGACTTTGTTTATAATTCCAGCAGTTACGTCATTCCTGTCACAGTAAACAAGACTTACTGGAGAATGTTTGGAAATAAACAAACAAAACAACCATGTATACTTTCGAACGTTTCTTTCTTTCAGTCTTTTGATAAAGAGTTGTCTTTCTTGTGTGTATTTTATACACAGTAGACAATTTATGACTTGAAAAAGAAAAAGGGGGTAATAATTAAGTTGGATAATTTTGACTTTTTTAAAACTGGACAGACGTAAGTCTATGTATTTGCATCTCTGTTTTTTACTCTCAAAAATAAGAAGAAGAAAATCGTCATGAAATTATGAACTAAATAAAAGTAAGGATGTAAAAGTATTTTATTCTAGCTATCCCCTTTGATTCTCCAACCCACAAACAGTATTTTTCTTCGTTTTTACCAGGGAATAGGTTAGGGTTAATAGTAGATCAATCAACATTCGACGAATTTCAAAAACTTGACTATTTTGAAGAAAAAACAAATTAAATCTAAAATATTTTATCATCTCCAGACTATATGAAAGTTTCTATACATTTGATAGAACTTGTTTATGACCTTGGTGTAAACCACATATCATCAGGTTGTTTTGATGTGGTTATTGTAAACTTATGATCAATGTTGAAATTGTGGTAAACTTAGTTAATAGGAAACAAAAGGCAAAAACGTTTTTTTTTTTTCGTTTTCTGTCTTTCATTTTCTCCCACTGCGGTTAACAAATTTTAATTTCTTTGCATATTTTTTTCATGAGGATATCCCAGTAAAACATAACAGCACGGTGCTCACTATGACAACATAACAACAATGCGTAAAAAAATGAAATAAAACAAATGTTAAACTTAGATTAAAAAGCACAGTTTTATAATGAAGCGCTCATTCTAAAAATGTTCGCATGGTTAATGATTTTGCAAACCAAAAAAGTTCACATTGCCAAGGAATATACATTCCAATAAGTATACAAAAAGAACCGTTCAATTCTAAATTTTTTGGTACACATTTTTTATTAGAAATTATATAATCAAATATAATTAAAAATTAAAAAGGCAATACCAATTTGACATGTAAATCACAAATTATAATGTGTTTCGTTTCAGAATTAAAAAATAATATTTGAATTTCAAATAAAAAAAATAAGAACAATTCAATGATTATTTGTTGCAATTTTAACCTTCCAGCTTATAATAGTTCTTCATAATATGGTTACCTGTCAGACGTATATAACATTCTACAATAATTAATAAGTAAAAAAAACATTGTACAACAAATAAAAAGTAACAATATTACTAACATAAGTTTAACAGGAGCAGAAATTAATGTCAACAAATATAAGAAATTGCGAAACAAAGAAAAGCCAAATGAACATTGCAAATAATAGAATAAATATCGAGAAAAATCAAGAAACCAGAACAAACATTGAAATATTACGAGAACATTGAGTATAATATGACAATAACAAAACAATTTTATAATAGCTTAAAACAAGAATGTGTCCATAGTACACGGATGCCCCACTCGCACTATCATTTTCTATATTCAGTGGACCGTGAAATTGGGGTCAAAACTCTAATTTGGCATTAAAATTAGAAACGTTATATCATAGGAAACATGTGTACTATGTTTCAAGTTGATTGGACTTCAACTTCATCAAAAACTGCCTTGACCAAAAACTTTAACCTGAAGCGGGACAGACGGACGGACGAACGGATGGACGAACGAATGGACGAACGAACGAACGGACGCACAGACCGAAAAACATAATGCCCCTCTTCTATCGTAAAAAGAACAAACAGAGAAGAGAAGTTATTAGAACACTATTAAAAGTAAGGTTAGCAAACCACTATATGTAAAAGTAAAATTGATGATAAACCTTTTTTTTTTTCTTTTTTTTTTTTTGGTGCTGTCTCATTGAAGTGTACATCGCTTGTCCTTTTATCTATATATCCGAAGTTTACGGAGGACAAGCAAAAATCATACCCTGAAAAGGCGGGGTAACATTAAGAACTTAAATAGAATAAATAAAATTCTAACAGTGCAAGTGATTCAAAATGGCCGGCAGGCATAATGCATATTCCGCTCATACTTGGGAAAAAATAGTTTTGGATAAGGTTTAGATAGTGAACTTTTGTATCTTAAATGTATGTATTATTTGGGACGGTATTAAAAGATTTTTTTTAAGATTCATTTTATTTCATCTCACTGCAAATACAAATAACGAATGGATCAAAACCGCTCCTTGATGACTTTCAGTATAACTGCGTGTGCAATTTGTCAAGTAAAACTGCCTTGGTACTGGCATGGTTAAACTAAAACAATTTGTATGTTCATTTCCAGTTTATAAATAAACATATCATGTCTTTCTTAACTAAAACTAAGGCTATACAATATATCAAGACATTGCTGACCTCGGACGTTTTTTTTTTCCTGATTTGTTTATACTCTATTGTTAAAATGCTCTCCCGCATTTTATTTGCTTATTTTATTTTGTATTTGGTCTTTCCAAACTTTAAGTCTTGGGTGTTCATGATAAAGGTTGTTTCAGAAACAATAGTTGTATTCACAACAGTATAAAGGAACCATATGATTTATTTTGTTGGTCACAAAACAAAGTGAAATCTGCTAACGTCAAGACAAGTCGTTTGGCGCTAAATTTATAAAATTGTTAGATGCATAAAGAGCCTGTACTTTGACCTACATGTAATACTTTCTCATGTTTTGGGTTGTATGATGTTTCCGCTTCATCGGCGTGTATCTACAGTTGCGCAATGAACCACATAAAATACATCTTTAATAAATGTGCATACAAATCGTATTTAGTTCTGCATGGCCAACACAATAAATTAATATATGTAGATAATATTTGAAATCAGAAAAGTGGAAATTTTTTTCAATAAGGACAATCTCACAACTCGTCACCAACCACAGAGCTGTTACGTCCAAATCGTAGGAATACCTTCCCTATTACAAAAGGAGGACTCTATGGTTAGCACTAATTTTATCTCATTGACTGCTTACAAAGGGAGAAGACTCGTCTGATTGATTGAATTAGCACTGCAACAGATGGAATTCTTTTCCATTTATGATCATCTTTATATTTAACTTTTAAACTTTCATCATGAATTGTGTGAACCGAATGCACTTTTTGG